TGATTGAGTAATTAATAGATTGGTTGATTATTTTTTTAGTTTCTAGCTAACATTTTAGTCTGTTTTCAAATATTATGACTTTGATCTATAATAATCATCTGTTTTTATATGCACACGACACTGTTTATACATTTAAACACATCAATTAATATTTTCATCTATAATTTGTTAATTTGATAATTAATTAATTAATTATCAAGTCTGTAATTGATTGTGTGGTTTCAATTGCTTTGATTTATATTTGGAAAATACTGTTTTCTTTTAATTAAAAATGGAGTCTCAAAAATAAATATTTTTTTCATGAGCGTTTAAGTAATTAATTACTCATGTCTGAGTAATTGATTGATTGGTTGATTAATTGATTGATTGATTGATTGATTGATTGATTGATTGATTATGTACTTAATTAATTGATTGATTGATTGAATGAAATAAAGTTGTATAGAATATGGATCGATCATTTAGGCTAATTGATCCTGAGTGATTTTTAATAACTTTAACAAGTTGATTGCTTTATTATGATTTATTACCGGATCAAATAATTCGTTGTAATAACTTTTTACATGTATGTGTATGTACACTTCATTTTATTTCATTTCGTTTAATTCATAGAAGAATTTATATATTTTTTTTTTATTATTATTTTATGTTTTGAGTAAAAAAGTTTGTTCAATATCAAAGAAATATCTTTTAGAAAACTGTATTGTTAGTCTCATACCAACGACATGTGTTGTTGTTGTCATTGTTGTTGTTGGACTTTTGGAACCTTGGGGTTTAGTTTGCGTTCGAACCAGGTAACGTCCGGTATCTGTCTGTGGTGTTCTGGTTTGCGGCGCATGCTATATTGAACTTTTTAAAGTTCCAGGGCATCCAATCATAGTTTCAAGATGTATGTGCGATGGATGACCTAAGAGCAGTGGAAAAGATTTTAGAAGTACGAATTCGTCACGAGAATTTTTCTTAGGCTTGGAACATTCAGAAATAGAAAGTTTTGTATACCACGTCAATAATCGAGATTCTGTAAATTCTAGAAAGTGTCTGAGAATAGGAAAACTACGCAGACGAGTAACGCTTTTAAAAAGAACCGATAAACCTTTAGAATATTTAACGTAGTCGAAATAACAATTAATGGTTGCCGACAAATCAGGTTTGGGCTTATTATGCTTGAAGTCTGCACATTTTATGAATTATTTCATAATTTGGAAGCGTCCGTGCAATTGCTGAAGGTGATAAGATGCGAGAATATGAATTACGAACAACCAGACGAACAAAGCATTAGAAAAAGTTAGAATTATCACTTAGGTAGGTTAATAAAGATTAGGTTTAATGCAAGTCTTTCAAAATAGCACATCTAAAAGTAATTAAGCTAGAAACTGTATCTATAAGGAGATTGAAAATATTTTAGACGTGATGCTATTTAATAAAGTATTCCAAATTCGGAAAAACTCAATTGAAGATGCACTTAATATGGCTGAGGAGACATTACACAACTCAGAAGACAACTAGCAATAATCCGAATTTCGAAATGAGACGTTCATTATCATGATGTCTCTCAATCTTTAGTTATCATGGATACAAAGTGTAGATTTCTCTTTAACTGAGTTGTTAATAATTATTTGTGAGGAATTTGAACCAGTCTGAAATTAATTACTTGCAGGTTGCAATAATCGTGTAATCGATTGATTTTCTATGATCATGAATTTAATAACAAAATTTGATGTTTTTTTTTTCTATGTGTTTGATATTCAAATTATCGTTAATTTTTTAAACATTTTTTTTTGTTACATTTCAAAGATTATTTTTTCAGAAAGTTTCAGCCAGCCACCGACATATACAAAAGTATTTTTAATCATCAAGAAATTCAAGAGCAACAAATTAAAAATGCCTAACTTTGGTGGGCAGCGTCCGGTGATGATTGTGCTGTGTGGAGCGGCCGTCAGTGTGGCCGTCATTTCGGCACTCGCAATGTATTTTAGAAGGCGCAAAAGACGGAAAGCCCTGTTGTACAACGACATTCTGGAGGAACCAGTAACAACAGTAAAACAGCAGCGGGCCTCATCCAATTCCGGTGGAGAAAGAGATAGGAATGCTAGTGGTAGCAGCTCGAGTGAACGAGTCAGCAAAAATAAAAACAACAGTAGTAACAATAGCAGAAGTTCAAAAGTTCATTCCATTCCTGAAAAAGGTTATCTACCGATAATTAAATAGAATTATCAATCTCTATATATTTTATTTTAAATATCATTTTATTTAAAATATTTTATTGAAAAACACTGACAGTATACTATAAACTATAATGAATCTGTTAACTGTCATGCAAATTTCAATAAAACATGTACAAAATGTGTAAACCATGCTATTTTTATGATCTATTTATTCATTTCTTAATACAAATCCAAACATTCAGCCTTTGCCTCGAAAGAATCATGTCCATCTCTTCATTCCAGTCAACCACCAAGTCCAGCAAACACGATAAGAAAGAGTGAATCAGTATCTAGTGATCTATCCGACTTGAACAGCACAGGAACCACTGTACTAGCCAATGAAAACATCACCAACATGTCTGCTCCACAACTTCTTGAAACCGGTCGGTTGGTTGGTTGTTTTGCTGGTTGGTTGGTTGGTTAGCTGTATAGTTGGTAATTAGTAGGCTGGCTGATTAGTTGGTTGTCCAGTGGTTTAAATGTAAGACTAGCATGTGTGCATGGAGTTGAAATAGTGATGTGGTATCATTAATTTATATATTTTTGTAATAGGCGTGTTCCATGTAGCACATAAAGCATTGTCGTCATCATTTCTCAATCCCACCATCATCATATTTTTCATCTTCTCTTTCATTTGTTCATCAGCTGGCTGTTGAATTTCAAACTTTTGTAGCTTTCCACGGATGGTTGAATTTTCCATCTAATTTTATTTTCTCTCCTAGGAGTTGATCTGATCCTGAAGGCCAGGCGCCAGTGGGAGCTTGCACTCCAACAACTGAATCAGAGGAAGGATGAGGATGAGGAGGACTATAAAGATGGCGCTGACGACGACGATGATTTCAAATCTGATATCGGCGATGATATTATGAAGGTAGGTGTGTGCTCATTATTTGAGTTTAAGCTTTTGTTTATCTGATCTGTGAGTTGAGTCGATAGAAGTTGCATGGACTTTTAAAAATTCACTGTCTTCATGAGTAGTTTTGAGATTTCATTTTTGAGATTATACGTTTGAATGTTTCATCAATGTTTAACATTATTTCCAAAAGGTTAGATCATCACTAGATTGTTACTCAATTAATATAATTGAAAATTACATTTAAAAACTCAAATTTTTAAAATTAAAAAAATCGTTAAATTAATTAGAAATATTAAATTGAACTTATTAATTTTTCTAGTTAGGGGGCAGCAGTGAAGCAGAGACAGTCAGCAGACTGAGGCAGCAGCTGATGCAGCTGATAGAGCTAGCAGACAGGATGCGCAGCTGCTGCAGCAATGAGATGCTGAGCAGCTTGTGTGCCGGTGTGGCCATGAACGCTGCCCTCTCCGAGATGGATCGAGAGTACGAGGAAAGAAGGAAGAAGTACATCAGTGATGATAGTAGTAGCGAGATCGAGTCGTTTTATTCTGCTGTAGAGGTGTGTTTGCTTGTTGGGTACCGAAATATTATATAATGTTTTTTTTAATGTATTAATGCATCACTTTTATTGCACATTTGGCACATCGGCTGTATCAACTTTTCCAACTTTGCCCGCCTTTTGTTGTCCTGCTTGTAGATAAAAAAAAATTTGTTGCCATTGATGGTCAACCACGGGGTATTGACTTGAGTGATATCAATTATCTCCTTTCAAGGTGTCATATTCTCCTCTCTTTACACATTCAACGTTAGTCTTCAGCCTCTTGTCAGGCTTTGCTCATTTAGCACTTGATCTGAAATACGTGGAAGACCCTTTTTCTTTTTCCATAGCATGGTAATCACGTCTTTTGCATTTCCAATTTTTGCATTTGCAGGCTACGAAAGGAATTTATTAATAAAGTTGTATGATGATAAAGTTGGAGTAATGGAGCGGTCATATTTCATGACAGGCAGTAAACTAATTATTCTATGTAGTAACTTCTGTAAGGTTTTTGTTTAATTCAGAAAAATAATGCTTATTTGATTGTTTCTTTTTATGTAAACGTTTATGGAACGTGTGTGTATGTTTGTGTTTGTTTGTTTGTGTGTGTATGTTTTTTTTGTGTGTGTGTTTGTGTGTGTGTCTTGTCTATGGGCTTGGCTCCTATATCCATGCTTCAAACTGTAATGTTTAGAATAACTAATAATTTTTTTTAATTTTAATTTTTGAATATCTTCATTTACAATACCAGATGTATTTTACAATTCATAAAAAACATTTCAATAAAAAAAATTAGGCTCTTGTAAAATTAGCAAAGATCAATAAAATTTATGTTTTGGGATGGTAAAGGATTTTACAATGTCTATGGTGAGAAATCTTATGATTGTCTTTACAATCATTATTGGCCTGTCCTATGTATATATATGTGCAAGTGGATATAGTCTCAAAACGTGGCTTTATGAGATTTTCTAAAGTTTAATCATTGATTACAGTGGATTATTTTTATAAAACAAATTAAAAGAAGTTCTAGAAGTACTCTGAGAATATGATTATTACGGTATGTTTTTTCTTTTATTTCTTCAAAATCATAGCGATTTTTTGCTGTTTTTTTAAAATTTGAGTTTTCGGTCCATTTTAATGTTTGCAACTTGAATACCTTATGTCTTGTCATAATTGTATTGTTGTTGTTGTTGTTATTATTATTATTATTATAAAGGTTAAAGGTACTCTGTCTCGTCATCATTGTATTGTTGTTATTATTATTATTATTATAAGTTATAGTTGTTTTTGTCACTTGATAATTCATTTACGGTTATAAAATTAAATGAAATAATTCATTTTCACTATAATATTAACAATTAATACAAGTACACGGTACGAATCAAATAAAAATGCGAAACAAATGCCAATTATTCCTTACATTATTCACTCTAATACCTCCAAACAGACAGTGGATCTCTCAGATCTGGAGGAACACATTGAACAGTTCCAGCACTTGTTGCTCTACGAAGAAGCACTTCAGCAGCTCCAAGATGGCAACGTGCCACATAGAATACTCAGGTAGGTATTTCGTGGTATTTTGTATATGTGTTTAGGTGCGTGTGTATGTGTTTGAATGTGTGTGTGTGTGCTTGTGTGTGTGTATGTATGTATGAAGGTATGTACTACCAAGTGAATGTATGTATGTATGTGTGTACGTATGTATGTATGCATTATGTGCATATGTATTATGTATGCAACAAATTCAAAATGGCAATGTACCTTATGGGGTATTCTGCAGTATGCTATGTATGAGAATGTGTGTATATAATTAATTCATTTGTTAATTTATTCATTTATTTATATTTCTTTACCAAGAACGAAACAGATGGGATGTACCTCGGATACAGAATTTCTCGCAAAGTTGCATTGCATCAGGCAGGCATTCAATGTGAGTCGAGTCATTTTTTGGTCGTTGTGTGGACGTTGTATGGTTCTTATGGGGTCATTCTGGGGTTGTTGTGTGTTTGTTGTTGTTGTGTGGTCGTTGTGTGGTTGTTTTATCATATTTCTCATTTTCTGTTTAAAAGTTGTTATTGCTATCATTTTCTTCATCATTTTTTAATCATCCGTTAATCATTAGCATTATTGCTATCAAAATACCATCATTATCATCATTATCATTTTTCTTAGGAGATCTTCGAGGTAGAAGAGAACAGGAAATGGTTCGAGGACATAGGCAGAGAGCTGATTGGTACTTTACTGAAGCATGCCGATAAGGTATTGGTCGATTCTTAAATTCTACATGAATATATTAATAGATTATGTTGATTCGTTAGCGAAGTATTAGCGGGAATTCTTTATGTAGCAAATTTATTGAGTAATCTGAGATTAATTATTTAATGAATGATGAAATGAGCGAGTGAGTAAATTGATGAAGGAGTGAATGAATGAATGAATGAAGAAATGCATGAATGCAGAAGTGAATGATTGATTGAACAAATTAATCCCACCAGGACCCTTCCGATTTTTACAAGTTGTACGACAACTTCATGGACTACTTGAAGACCTCTGAAAACTGGGTCAACATCGAGGTCGAATTGAAAGGGAGAAATGTAGGTCACATTTGTTTACAATTGGTTTCATTTGGTATAATAATAATCTTTTTTATGCCTATAGGTGCTCGTGATGCCTTCCGATGAATAAATTTGCATATCATTAATGTTGCATGTTTATGTTTGACTTGTTTACACATTGGAAGGTGTAATGGTTATTAATGTTTATAAATTATTATAAACCATTAAAATAAAATAAACTAATAAAAATATTACGAATAATTTTTTTGAAACGTTTCCACCTCCATTGAAGGTGAAAGTGATGAATTTCTTTGACATAGTGATCGACTTTCTACTCTTTGACGGTTTCGACGACCTTGATCAAGTTCCTTCGACCATCGTCAACATCTGCGGGAACAGGTGGATAACTAATGGATTCAAGGAGACTGTAAGTTTTCTATAATTGGTTGATTGATTGCTGGTTGGCTGGTTGGTTGATTGATTGACTGGTTGTTTGGTTGGTTCATTTGATTGGCAGGCTGGCAAGTTGATTGATTGATTGATTTTCTAATTGGTTGTGTGATTCTTTAGCTGATTGGTTCATTGATTTGTAGCTTCCCATGAAACAGTTGTTTGACTTGTTGATACTCTTGTTAGTTTATTAATTTGTTGTTGTTTTTTTCTGACGTTTTGACTTTTTGGTTGACTGACCATTTTATATTTTATTCACTAATTAAAACCCTCACAGGCAATCTTAACTTTCGTCTGGTCTGTCCTCAAAGCAAAGAGAACCATGCTGACCGTATGTAGTAGTACACTAATTTTCAATTTTTTTTCATCTAATTCTCCAGATTTTACTTTTATTTTTAACAATTATTAATGATCCAAATGATAATTCTAACCAATAACCGCCTTGACATAAAAGAACCAGGATGGCTTCATATCCCACTTCTACAGCATCAGCGAGATCACAAGTCCCGTCTTTGCCTGGGGGTTTCTAGGCCCTGACGGCCCTCTTAAGAGTGTCTGCAAGTTTTTTAAGGTTGGTTGATTGGTTGGTTGGTGAGTTGGCTGGCTGGCTGGCTTGTTGTTTTTGTGTGTTTGTTGTTGTTTGTGTTGTGAGAGTTGTTGTACGTTGCGTGTGTTGTTCATTCTGTCGTTAATTTCAAAAAGTCAAAAACGAACTATAAATGAAAAATAATTTTTTAATGATAATAATTTTTATTAATTACAATAAAAACAAAAATTAAAAAAAATGAAATTATCACCTCAGGACGAAGTAACCAGTTTCATGACTGAGGTCTTCGATTTCGAGTGCGTTCGTTTCAGCACGTTGACCGACCTGACGGAAGACATCATGAAGCTAGCCAGGAAACACGGTCAGCTGGCCAGGGATAAACTATCCACCCACCCGTCTTATTGGTCGTGAGCTGACCAATCAGAGTCCTCCTTACATCATTAGTGCCGGTGATGCAGCCAATGAAATGTAATGATATCACTCGATCTTCTCCAATCATCATGAGTCATCTATATAATATATATTTTTTCCTTGTGGAATATTAAGCATTTTGATAATTCGTTTATTTTTTTCGTCGTTGTTGTTTTCGTTCTTCAATTATCTAATAATGATAACTTTAATAATAATATTAGTATTATCACTGTTGTTAATATTATTATTGTTATTACTATTGTTATTATTTCTATGATGTCATTGTTTAACGTTTAGGTTAACTTTTTATTTTTTTTTCTGCAATGGCATTGGGGATTTGTGTAAGTCCTTCGACTTGAAGTAATTTTTCATCGCAAAAAAATTTGACGGATGTCTTTCAATGTAAAATAAATTCGAGTTATCTCATGTCTTTTTTAGCATTTAGTACTGTTTATACTGTTTATAATGGATTGATTTTAATTTATTTACATTGTGTTGATTAATTAGTTAATTGATTGATTGATTAAAATTATAAACTCAGTTGAGTGATTGAAAAGTTGATTAATTTTGATGGAGTGAGTATTATATGACGCAAGTCAGTCAGCTGGCATGTAATCTATTCTCTCATTAGAGACCGTTGAACGTCAGCATGGATGTTAAATATCGAATTTCAAGTTTCTCTGAAACTTTTCCGATCAAGGGATGAAGTAATGTGTGCTTTTTTTATGACGTAGGAGAGCATCACGTGATCACCAGCTTACTGAATTGGTTGGCAGGTTACCATGACAACCATTGATTGATTGATTGATTGATAAGATAGCTGTGTGTGACAATATCTTGTGTGCCGAATAAAGATTTGACTGCCTCCAACATTTTCAGCTGTTTGGTAGCAAGCGTACCAACGAAGCATGGTACTCCAACCTTTCTTTTTCATGGATGTAACTGGAACCGAAGCTGCGCTGCGTTATTTGAAAAAGTTGATTCGATCATTGTGAACTTCACATAGAAATTGAAATATAGCACTTGACCTGAACGCTGAGCTGATAGCCCTTGCTTAATTATTTTATATTAATTACTTTTTTCAATCATTCAAACCCAAGTTGATCAAAATTTCCTTGCAGAAATGCTATTGGCTTACATTTGGAGAATACGATGGGACACGCGGGATAACAGAGCACGGCTAACTAAGTTTCCACTGTCGTTACCTTAGTAGATAAAGTTTCATCATTATTTTTCTTTGCTATGAAATATGAAGAGTTCGTTTTGCATTTTTTTTCCTTAGCCCAATAATTCACGGTGGTTAGAATTTTAACTAATATGCATTAACGCACAGATGGGTCGCATCAATTTTGCACACATACGTACGTTTGCTTGCTAACGTATCTTGCCTTCGAGCTTTACAACGTTTCGATATAAAGTTAAAAATATCGGTTGTGTTTTAACTGGATGGACCATGAAGTTGGTAGCTGTCACGATAGACCTGGCCCCTGTCTTCGCTGTGAGTTTCATTTGATGTTTTATTCATTCTATTTAATATTAAAAACTAGTAACATTCTACGAATTTCTGCTACTAATTTGCTTGAGTTTGAGACATCAATGAGGCGGACGAAAATTTTATGTAGACTTGTTAGTAAATGTGAATCACGGACTCGTTCCGAGGTAAGCGTGGCTTGGGCTTCTCTTTGCTACAGATTCCGTTCCAGCATAAATTGTTAAAAATTCGATTTTGGAATACATGCTGACGAGTTGTTAAATGATCTGCATCTCAGAACTTCTAATCCAAATCAATGGCGAATTTGTTATCATTATACAGTTCATGTATAGCATAACATAAACATAACACAACAGGGCATGGTTTACAGTGGTTCAGCTGTATTTAAAATTAGTGGTAATTGTCTTATTTGTGCAACTACGTGTCGGAGTTGTTAGTCATCATTGAGTGGTTACTGGTTGGTAATGATTATTTAATGTTTAAGTGTAAGACCATTTGCTCAGTTTGTGTGTATTCTTAATTTGGCATGTTTGTTTATGATGTTATTTCAAAATATCCATAATCTAATCTACACATATGAACGTCGCACATATGCACACGCAAACCGCAAACATATCTCTCTCTCTCTCTCTCTCTCTCTCTCTCTCCCTCTCTCTCTTACATACAACACACACACAAAACACAAACACATACCACTAACACAGGTTTTTCCCATTTATTTAACACCAGATACAATATATTTTCAATTTAGAAGGATTAGTTCCCTTCAGACAGGCTTGTAGCATGGTTGAGAAAAATAAGACGAATGGTGACATTGTCATGTACGACGAGGTTCTTGGCATCCACTCTGACAACAGGACTGACAGAAAGAACTGTGGATTGGCCAGGGAAACATTTCAAATTTATAAAAGACAAATAAGACAAGAGGAGAAAAAGTGGTTGAAGTTGTATGAACAGCTGGCATCATATGTCTCAATAGTTGAAGGCCCCATCCTGGGAATTGTTTCTCATCCTTCTGACTTTGTGATTCATTTTGTTGAAAGTTGACCTTTAACCTTTTAGATAATAAGTGTGATTTATTATCCTAGAAGATGACAAAAGTTACGTTTGTGTTTAATGTTGTCATGAAATTATGATAAAAAGATGATGATTGTTACATTGAATAGTTATACTTTTTTTTATTTTTAATTATGTAAATTTAATTAATATCGATTGGATTGGGGATGTTATGGTGAAAAATTTCAAAATTATCGTATCTTTACGGCCGATCTTCATTCAAATTAATCCAATGTCGAGTAAGGTACCGCGTGAATGTTCGGCGAAGTTCGAATTGAATGATGCACCGAACATCTGCCTAATCTAATCGAATGAACATCGATTTGAAATACATTTGAAAGAAAAAGGTTCAAAATGGAAAATATTTCAAGACATTTTACATTTAAAAGATTTCTTATTTTACAAAGAAGTAAGTAATCTTTCTCAAACGTCCAACGACTAAATTCTAAACAACTAAAACTTTAAAATGATAGGAAAAAATGTATGTAATAAGCATGCAGAAAAATCACAAACATAAGATAAAAACATTTTATAACTTTTTACACGTCAAAAATTTTTAATTAGGATAATTTTTAACTACATGATTATCAGCCGGTTAAATTTCATCCAGAAATCCAAAAACTGTCAAGCCTGACCTCGTTCGCTTGTTTGAGTCGAAAAATTTTCACAAATATAAAATTGTGACAGTTAAAAAGTTGCCGAAAACAATGTTATGCCCACAATTTAGTTTTCTTTTCATTAAAAATTAATTAAATGCATATTTAAGAGTAAGAAGAGTAGCAAAGTCCTAACAATGAAGAATGTTTTTATTAGAATTAAGATTAAATTTTACAAATATGTTACTTATATAATTAGATTTAAAAAATTACATCAAATGAAAATGTAATTTTCTGTAAATTTTTAAAATATATGCAAAANACGACATTTGGTTGTTTAGGTTGGAATGATTTAGCGACCAACCTGCTCTGCAG